AAAATCTTCGCATCTTTGTTCTTGTGGTTCATCCAAACAACTTTAAGTACGGACGGACATTCTCGTTGTATTTGAAGCAAAAAATTTTCCAGTCTCTTGGCGGGAAACACTAATATGGCTTACTTGGAACTCTAGTTTACTTTTCAGATGCCGCGAGAAATGACTATCTCAAGCAAGATACCAAGAAAAGGTATCAATCACGGAAGAAACGGAAAATCGGGGGTCGAGTGCCCCTCCACACCCACCTCTTATAGACAGTTGTTTTGTAATATGAGACTAGTTTAACATTGTGGTACGAAATATTGTGATAAGCATACGTCTTACAACATGAATGTGTATTAAAAAATGTAGTTACCACAAGGATGAACTTGTCTTAAATTACAAAATAACTGTCTATATATATTGTCCCTCGATTTTTTGTTCCTTCCAAGGTTGACTCTCCTAAGACGCTTGGTTGAAATGGTCTTTTCTTATGACATTTGAAAAGAAAGAAAGAGAGCTTCGAGCTTCGAATGTGCTATTTACACATTTCCTGCCAAAAGACTTAAACAATGTTTCTTTATAGATGCAAAATGATGCCCATCCGTACATAACGTTATTTTAGTGCACCACAACGACGAAGTTGGAGGAGGTTTTTAAACTCCCAATTTACACTTCTTTTCCAAAGTATCTTGTAGTCTATCTGAAAAAATAAAGAGAAGCAAAATAAACATCTCTCACATTAGTCCTTTATTTTGTAATATTCCATCCAAAATAAATTAGAATTTTCAAATCAAAACCGGCTTCAGTTTACAGTAAGAGCACTACACGAGACAATGCGGAATGATAGCAAATTTCTCCCTCCTTTTCCTAGACCTTTCTTGGACCTTCTGTTCTCTCCCATCCTGAAGTTGACACAGATGATATTAATCACTTTGTCAGCAATACTTAACATGGAATAAATCATCTGTTAGCAACTGCAAAACAATTTCAAGTCTGCAGTAAGTGTTCTCTATAACTTCAAAAAGCTAAAAAAACAGCTAACTCTAAAGACAGCAAGAATTACTGGAAAAATTCAATGCTTCTGGTACTAGTTTAGGGTACTTTACTCTAGACGAAACATAAAAAAAGCAACTTTCGACGAAGTTACAAAGGTCTTTAATCAGGCAGTTCAACAATAACACTTATCGCACTCACTAAAATATTAAGTATTTTCTTCTTTTACCGTCTTCTTAAACTTATAATCTTTGCGGGATCATACAATCTGGGCAAGGAAAAGTAAGAAAAATGTTTGTAAATACAGAACTCTAACACTTCTGGTTCAATTTGATAAAGATGTTCAATCGTCGCTGATAGTTAAATTAAAGGAAAATGCAATTTTGTAAAGGTTGAAACTGGTACAGAATAACAAATTTCAGCTCAAAGGTTTACACAATAAAACATCACTAGTACTCACCGGATCCTAAGAGTATTCCCTTCTTCCAAAACCATTAATGTTAATTTTTTAAATATTTGCGGTTCCCAAAAGGCGAAAAGTAAGAGAAATAGTGAATGGAAAATAAAAGGTCCTAGTTGAAAGAATTCATTATAAGACGACACTGAAATTATTTGCGGGTGGGAAAAGAAATTTTTTACAAAACTACACTCTTCAGTTCAGGAAGGTAGACATTGACACAATAATTAGAATCACTGAAAAGTTGAGTCTTCTCTTCTTCCTTGACCGTCTTTTTCAATGTGAAAGCTGCGATAACTGAAAGGGGAAAAGGATGTGGCAAAAAAAACAACAACCACAGCAATTCAATTATACTTGGAAATAGTTTGCAGTTATGCGAAAATGATTCAATTTAAAGATGCAAATTCACTGAATTCTAAAATAAAAGTTAGGAAAAAGTAAGAAAATTTCGATACATCTGTTTACAGTCAAAAACAATTTACTGAAAACAATACTTGAACTATTTGTTCTACAAATTTGAGCTCCATTTAAACATAATTACATAAGGTTCCTTTTCAACCATACTCAAAGGTTTGAAGCATTTCTTCTTCCTTGACCCCCTTCTCAGACTGGTTTTCTTTCAAGCATCTGAAAGGAAGAATGCAAGAACGATTAATGTGAACACAAAATTGTGGGAATGATCATTAGTTGACACCTGGGAGAGGAAGGGGGAGTCAGGGGGGGCAGGGGGTTATAGATGTGTCACAACAACATTTATCTGATTCCCTCATAAGACTCTGTAGTACTCTAATGAGGCCCCACTATATCCCCCTCATTTAAAAAATGCTCAAGACGACTGATCCCTTGCCCATTCCCCCTTAAAACCACGTGACCTCCAAAATCTTCCAAACCCCCCCTCCCCTGAAAGTTGAGGCCTGGTGATCAACTGTTTGTTTGAAAATGGGTTTAATTTGCATGTGAATGAAACTTATAATCAAATGAAAGGATCAACACCAAGACTCGTTTTCAAAAAGAGGTCAAAGGTATTTCGACTGTCATGTAGGGAGTTGTAGCATCTTTACAACATACTTTTAATGGATGGAAGTCAAAGCAAGATACACATTTTCGTAAAATATTGCTACAGCTCCATCATATTCTACAAAAATTTGCCTCTTTCTCCTTGGTTGCCTTGTCATGTGGCGAGAATCTCTGATTTCGATAAAACTTAATTTAGATCCAAACAATAAAAGATTATAAACTCTTAATATTCTCTTGTTCGAATACAAGCAACATGGCTATTTGTTTGCTACATCATATAATTTTGAACAAGGTTTCTTTCTTCCTGGCCACCAAAATTTTTATCTAGCGATCATATTGAGATTTTAAGTCACCAGAGGCTGACTTTGAGATGAACTTAAGCCCTAAGTGCAATCGAATACGTTACGAGAAGAAGTATTTTGCTCGTTGGTAATTTTATTCCTAAATTCGTTATTTATTTTTAATTGCAACATCCACGGGATTTGAAGGCAGACACCACCAAGGAAAACACAACATCGACGGAAAAATTATCAGTCAAAGGAACGTGTACATATTATATGTGAAAACTGTATGGAAAGTTGTAAAATTTCTAAAATATATATAATAGACATATTCAGTACTGATTCTGATATTCATCAAACCTCACAGTGACTCGATAAATAAAAAACCACTTACTTCTCGAGCCAGTTCTTTTGTCATTGTTCATTGACCTAAGTCGCCATACAGTTCTTCAAAATCCGTCGTCCTCCATCCCAAACACTCGCCTATTACAGGTATGAAAATTCATTTTGATAAACTTCAACATGAAGCAAGTTTAATTTATTGATGAATTGATTCATGATAAAATTAACAGCGTCCCATTCTGAGAGTTTTCATACAGGATTAAAGAAATGTATCAAAGAACAGCCCCCTCGCTGTTTTAAGCCTTGCTCAATTACAAGTGTACTGAGCTCTAAAATCTTAGATCCGGCGCTTGCCAACGATTGTGTTTCCTTTCGGGAATTCAGCATAAATGAAGCGGTAAATTTTCTCAAAATACACCGAATAAACCAAAGGAAGGGACCAGGTTACACTGAAAATGATTTCTGAAATAATTTCAAACAGTATTATCTCGTTTATAAGCGAAAAATTTACGCAAATCCCAGGCGTTTTGATCGCGACGGGAAAACCAGCGTAATGACGTCCTGAACTTGTTGGGGAGAACGGCACGCTAACACCAGAAGTCGAAATAGAGTCGTGTCCAGACTATCCGCGCGCTTTCTCGTTCTGAAATGACGTTCCCGTCCCCTTGCTAAATCACTCTATTGTCTCATCACGACAACTCCCTGATCATGAGTTTCAAGGCGCGTTAAAAAAAGGTATTTTAAACATATTTATGCAAACAGAAAGTTTAGAACCGGTGTTTAAAGACAGAAT